GATATTGTTGCACCAGAAATTTGATAAAAAAATGCTATCATCTAATGCTTGTTGAATGACAGCAAGTGCTTTTGATGAGGACATCTCAGTTTTAATTATTTTAGTTAGACTTTTATTTCTTAGTTGGACTTGGATTATTTTATTTTTATGGACTTGTGTATTGGGCTTGGCCCTATCTTTTAGGTTTGCAGTATTTTTAGTATTTAAACCTATTTTACATTGTAATTGAGGCGATGAATTAATTGAATAAAAAGTTGGCCGCAATCTCTGTTTTTTCTTCCCCTCCCCCCCGATTTCCCCTTCTTCTCCTTTCCTCCTTTCTCATTCTTATTTATTTCTATTTACCCTGCATCAAATTGGTATCAAAGCCTAACTTGGGAATTCATCACTGCATCGGAGTAGCTAGGACTACCCTACAATTTTCGCCAGTCCACATTAGAGAACAGCCCGTATGCAACCTGTTATTATATCTCAATCTCCAACTGCTGCCAAATCACAACCCCAATCTAGACTTCTTCAATCCCCGATACAGTAACAACCACGTCCTTCCACTATTGCCAGAAACTCACTCAACACCCAAACTCCCAGAAGCCAACCACTGAAATCAAATCTCCAATCAACCTGCCATAGCACAATCAAACCATCACAGTAAGCCAGAAATTGAATCAGCTTCTGTCCGAAATCAAACCAATCGTGACAACCCAGTCGCCCTCTTCACCTCTTACACATATATCCCCTCCAAGCACGGTTTGAGGAGAGAGCGCAGAAAATAGAGAAGAAAGAAGAACACGAGAGGGGAAAAGAAGAAGCAGCAAGGCCACAATTAAATTCCACCACTGACGCCCTGTTGTTGCCGGAAGCTACCTCAAAATCGCGACCTGCAAAGTCGCGAGCTTCACCTTAGCTACAGCCAACATCCTAAAACCACAGCCGTCAGCACTGTTTCATCAGCACCACGCAGTAGCCACCGAGAAGACCGAAAATTTCACCACCAATGATAAACCCAAACTGCAGCCCCTCAATCCAGTCGACGGCGCCTACATACAGTGACCCGTCTCCCCCTCTTGAGGCCAACTTCACGTGAGGTTGGATTAATTGTAGGGTTTGTTTAGGGTTTTAGTCAATAGTCTTGGGTTTTTATTTTATTTTGGACCACAATTATTCCTTATTGTTTCATTTATGTAAAGTTTATCTGATTTGTATTATTTAAAAAAAAAGAGTCAAAAAAAAAAAAAGAAAAGAAAAGTGACAAAAAAAAAGAGTCCAAAAAAAAATCGAGAATTTTGAGAATTTCCTAACATTATTTTGCAGGTTTATTTTAGTTGACTGATCAGTACCGCACCTCGACGAACATGGAATTTTCTGTCTTGACATTTTGGAGCTTAACAGTTCAGAAGTGGAGACATTCGACGCTGGGACGACTCAGGCCAATTGAACTCGGGGAGCCTCTGCTCCTATCTATTTTTAGTGACACTGTTACTGTATTTTAGACTTGCATCAATTAATTTTTTGTGTTGCTAATATTTTGATAATTTTAGCCTTAAATCTATTGGATTGAAATTCACGAACCGACCCATTGTTAACTCGTTTACCCCACATGACTAGACCTAGCATTTGTACCTTTGCTTTCTATTTTATTGGCATTAGTAGTATTAGCTTGCAATCGGCCCATACGTAATCCCTAAAATAAAATAAAATAATAATAATAACAATAGATAAATTTCAGTCACTATTATCCTTGTTGGCACTCGTTGGTTGTTGATCTCAATAGTGCGCTTCACTTAACTTGTGTTACTGTGTATGTAATTGCGTAGTGGTCGAGTTACTGCGTCTAGTGCTAGTACCCCTACCATGGACCCTTCCTACATTGAAGCTATCACCCGACAGTTGGCACAATTACAAAACCAATTAACGGCTGTCCAAACTGAGTTAGCCGCTACTCGTGAGGAGAATAGAGCCCTAACGCTAGGGTAAACACTCTTGACCCAACCCAATACTCAACTGAAGCTAATAATTCTGACGCTTCCATTAATAGACCTCATCGTCGTCCACAAGGTGGTCGACACCATGTTAGACATGACTGTAGAGAGGGAAATCAAACTCTTGGATGCGAGCGGGAATATCACCGTCATAATACACTATCTCCCCCTCGTCAAGAGGAGCACCTCTTTCCAAATATTAAGTTAGATGCCCCTACATTTGATGGTTGTCTAGATCCTAGTGTATTCAATCAATGGGTTAGAGATATGGATCGCTTCTTTGCCTGGTATGGGGTCCCTGAAGATCGGAGGGTATAATTTGCCAGTTTGAAATTAACTGGCACAGCTCAACTGTTTTATGAAAGTGTTGAGGACCTCCTAGAGAGGCGTCATGCTCCCCCTGTTGGGAACTGGGATGAGATGAAGCGCCGCCTTGAAGAAAAATATTTACCTCAATCTTACAAGGGCAACTTGCTGGATCAATGGAACGCACTTACGCAAGGCAGTCGACATGTGATCGAATATGTTGCTCAGTTTGACGAGTTTCGAATGAGGTGTTAGGTCGTTGAGGATGAAGTCATGACCTTGAGTAGGTTTAGGCAAGGCCTACTGGATGATCTTAGATGTAAGCTTGTTCTTAGAGGTGTCACCACTCTTGACCACGCCTACTCTTTCGTTCGGGATTACGAGTTAGTCACTAGGACACCGTATAGAAGTCGTAGTGACTCTCGCACTACAACCTCCTCTGCATTCACTCCATCCCCTAAGTCTATTCTAGGACATCTTCCTTCTAATACTACCCCTACATCGGATAGTAAAGGTAGATGTTCTGAGGTTTCGAGAACGTCCTCTCGTTTGCAATGCTTCAACTGTAAAGGTTTTGGTCACATTGCTTCTAAGTGTCCTAGACGAGCCCTAGTTTTGGAAGAGTGTGAGGATATAGTTGACGAGCCACTAGAGGATCAGGTTTATGAGCCTAAGTTAGAAGAGTTTGATGACTTGGAGGATAGTGAAGATACCTTCTTGGGTTGTATTTAGGCTAGTACTCTTATACCACATACGCCTAGAGTCGGTGTCGTCCGTTGTACTCTTACCCAGCCTAGGGATGCCGATGATTGGCGCCGTCATGCCATCTTCCACACTTACATCAAGATTAATAATAAGGGCTGTAAAGTTATCGTGGATGGTGGCAGCTGCATTAATGCAGTTTCGATGGCTACCGTATCCCGTCTAGGGTTGAAGTCTGTGCCTCACCCTCAGCCATATAGTGTCTCTTGGGTTGATACCTCCTCCATAGCTGTCAAGGAGCGTTGTTTAGACCCTATCCAGTTTCTCGAGTATAAGGACCATATATGGCGTGACGTCATTTCAATGGATGTCGGGCACATCATCTTGGAACGATCTTGGTTATTTGACCTAGGTGTAACCATCTATGGTCGATCTAATTCATGCTCCTTCGTGTTTAATGGAAAGAAGATTCACCTTAATCCACTGCCTCCAAAGCCTGTTGGCCCACTGGAAACGAAGAAAAGTGTGAAACGAAAGGGATTGCACATCATTAGTCCTACGGAGTTTGAGCGTACACTTGTTGGTGACTCAGTTGCGTTCGCTGGTGGTCATGGAGGTTCCATCCCACTCCACAATAGAGAGCCCTGTTGAAGTACTGTCGGTCCTCCAAGAGTTTCGAGAAGTCTTTCCGGAGGACCTACCTGATCATCTACCCCCACTAAGGGATATTCAACATGCCATAGATTTCGTCACAGGGACATCCCTCCCAAATTTACCTCATTATAGGATGAATCCTACCGAGCACGCTGAACTTCAAAGGCATGTGGACGACCTCCTTCAAAAAGGATTCATTTGTGAGAGTTTAAGCCCATGTGCTATCCCCGCCCTATTGACGCCCAAAAAGGATGGTTCTTGGAGGATGTGTGTGGATAGTCGTGCGATCAATAGGATTACGGTGAAGTATCGTTTTCCCATTCCTAGACTTAACGATATGTTAGATATGGTGGTTGGTGCCACAATCTTTTTGAAGATTGATCTGAAGAGTGGATACCATCAGATTCGAATTCGCTCAGGTGATGAGTGGAAGACCGCGTTTAAGACGAAAGATGGTCTTTATGAATGGCTGGTCATGCCTTTTGGGTTGAGTAATGCGCCAAGTACCTTTATGCGAGTAATGGCACAAACTCTCCGACCTTTCATGGGAAAGTTTCTTGTTGTCTACTTTGATTATATCCTCATCTATAGTAAGACTAAGGAGCAACACCTTGACCACCTCACACAAGTTTGCTCTACCCTTCGTACAACTAATCTATATGCTAACGTCAAGAAGTGCTCTTTCTTCACCGACACAGTCATTTTTCTGGGGTTCATTGTCTCTTTGACAGGGGTATCCGCTGACCCTGCTAAGGTTTAGGCAATTATTGACTGGCCTGAGCCTAAAGTTATTCATGACGTCAGGAGCTTTCATGGCTTAGCTACATTTTATCGTCGCTTTATTAAGGGGTTTAGCACTATTATGGCGCATATTACGGAGTGTATAAAAAAAGGGGAGTTTCATTGAACACAAGAGGCGGCTAAGGCCTTTAAGTTAGTCAAGAAACGAATGACGGAGGCCCCTGTCATGCGTCCTCTTGATTTTTCCAAAGTCTTTGAAGTTGAATGTGACACCTCCGGGGTAGGTATAGACGGAGTCTTAAGTCAGGATCGTCACCCTGTTGCCTACTTCAGTGAGAAGTTAAATGAGGCCAAACAGCAGTACTCAACTTATGATAAGGAACTGTATACAGTGGTCCAGGCTTTACGCTATTGGCGCCACTATTTATTACCCCAGGAATTTGTCCTTTATTCGGATCACGAGGCCCTCGTTACCTTAACTCCCAGAAAAGATTAAGTTCTAGGCATGGTCGTTAGGTCGAATATTTGCAGGCCTATTTATTTGTTTTAAAACACAAGAAGGGTGTAGAAAACCAAGCAGCTGATGCATTAAGTCGTCGTGTCTCCCTTTTGTCGATCATGAGTGTCAAGGTCATCGGTTTTGAAAGACTTAAGGAGGATTACGAGGCATGTCCCGATCTCAAAGATATCTTTCTTGATATACAAAGGGGACAATTAGGCACCACAGATGGCTTCCGACTTGAGGAGGGTTATCTCTTTAGGGCCAATAAATTGTGCATCCCTCGAACTTCAGTGCGAGATTTCATTGCGTGGAAAATTCATGTGGGAGGGTTAGCCGATCATTTTGGACGTGATAAGACCATAGAGGAAGTTGAACGTCAATTCTATTGGCCTAGCTTGAAGAAAGACGTGGCTAAGATTGTTAGCACTTGTCAATTGAGTAAGCAGAAGAAGCAGAACACAGGTCTATACACCCCTCTTCCTGTCCCTAATTGTCCTTTACAAGATGTTAGTATGGATTTTGTGTTAGGACTTCCACGCACCCCAAAGAAGCATGATTCTATTTTTGTGGTTGTCGATCGCTTCTCAAAGATGGCTCATTTTATCCCCTGTAGCAAGACGTCGGATGCGTCCAAGGTTGCCATATTATTCTTTAATGAAATTGTCAAATTGTATGGGCTTTCCTAGACCATCGTGTCTGATAGGGACGTTCGTTTCACTAGCCATTTTTGGAGAACTTTGTGACATAAGATGGGTACCAAATTGAAATTTTCTATGGCCTACCACCCTCAGACTGACGGTCAAATTGAAGTAGTTAATCGAAGTCTTGGTAACCTATTACGTTGTTTGGTCAAAGAAAACCTTCGAAATTGGGATTTGATCCTTCCTGTAACTCAAATTGCGTATAATAGCTCCATAAATCGTTCATTACGTATGAGTCCATTTGAAGCCGTTCATGGGTACAAGCCTAGGAAACCATTAGATCTCATCCCTATATCTCCACAGGCTAGAGTGTCAGTATCAGCCGATGCATTTGCACAACATTTTCGTGACTTGCATATTGAGATCAATAAATAACTTGAAGCTAGTAATGCAAAATATAAACTCCAAACTGATTTACACAAACGACATATTAAGTTTAACATTGGGGATTACGTTATGGTTCGCATTAGGCCAGAGCGGCATCTACATGGACCCGCCTCCAATTGCAAGCTCGTAGTGCTGGTCCTTTTAAAATTTTAAAGCAGGTTGGTCCAAATGCATAAATTGTTGACATTCCACCACACCTTGATTACCACTCTACTTTTAATGTTGAGGACCTTGTAGCTTATAAAGGCCATTTCATTCCCTCAGATGATCCTCTGTCATCTCCTTTTGTGGACCTTGATCCTGATTCTTTGACCCCTTCTAACCCACTACCACCTCTCACAGCACACAAAGAAAAAATTGATGCTATTTTAGATGAAGAAACTGTGTTCATTAATGATGGAGAGGTTCAGCGCTTCCTTGTTCATTGCGTTGGTCGACCAGATTGTGACTGTGCGTGGATCTTCAGGGAGACACTACAGCAATTGGATCCAGATTTATTAGAGTTTTATCGGAGTCAGCAGGATCTTCATTGGCCCAGACTGCCTCCCGTCCACCCGAGGGGAGTTGGTGAGGACATCAGGTTCAGACCGCCACTGACACATTTCTACAGATGCCGAAAAAAGCTTGCCCAGCCACTCAGTTTATAGTTGGGAGATTGATGGATGCCTATGGTGATATAGCCACTCGATAGGGTCGAGTTTTCTCTCCTACCCCGAGAGAATTGATGAGGACATCCCAGTTTTAATTATTTTAGTTGGACTTTTATTTCTTAGTTGGAATTGGATTATTTTATTTTTATGGAATTGTGTATTGGGCTTGGCCCTATCTTTTAGGTTTGCAGTATTTTCAGTATTTAAACCTATTTTACATTGTAATTGAGGCAATGAATTAATTGAATAAAAAGTTGGCTGCAGTCTCTGTGTTTTCTTCCCCCCCGGTTTCCCTTTCTTCTCCTCTCCTCCTTTCTCCTTCTTATATCTTTCTATTTACCCTGCATCAGCTTTAGCATATATCTTCTTCAAATCTTTAAGAACATCAATTGAAACTTCACTGGTACTCTATCCCTTTTCTACGAGCTAGCACATTTGTTCTTCAAATCTTTAAGAACATCAGCTGAAACATTACTTGTAATTTACACCTTTTCTGCTAGCCAGTATCTTGGCTCTTCAAATCTTTAAGAACATTAGCTGAAACATCACTTGTACTGTACCCCTTTTATACAAGCTTCCACAAGTTTTAAGAGATGAAATGAGTCTCCAATTTTGTGCTCCATATACCGTACTCGCTGCCTTTGAAGAGTGGAAGTGTGGGTATTGTTGGATTGACACTATTCATAGTGTTTTCAATCTCAAAAACACATAAGTGGCTTTCATACACTTTGTTAAGACAATAGAACTCCATTGAGACTTCTCTCAACAATTGTTAGGAAGAAAAAGATAAATGGAGACAAGTAAAATACAAAGCACAAAAGTGAGGCATATGTTCAAACACTTCCTAT